TCTAAATTTTACTGAACCGTTACCTTCATACAATTCGCGCTGTTTGCTTATAAATTTAAACTCACTTGAGGATAGGAGAAAGTTATTATCTTGCTAGTTTATCTTCAACGTGCTTACTGGGATTGTTGATTGCCCTGATATTTTTTATTTGCATTCTTCCAAATCAATGTATGCTATGAATACACCAATTTGTCGTGCCCTTAGAGAGATTAATAAAATCAATTATATCGAGGATATTGATATATCGCTTCCCGGAGTGGTGTTAAAAAAGTTAATCTTAAAACTACTCTGATTTTATAATGTCACCTATGTATTAGCTTTAAGTTATACCTTGTTACTTTTTTAGATATCATAGTCAGTAAGAATTTTGTTTTCTTTGACTGAAATAAATAAATAAATAATTCAAATAGTTTAATACAAATATAATATGATCTGGTACCGGCAGAGCTACAACGAAAAATATCGTATTTTTGCAAACTTTAATGGATTAGAGAAATGAACTAGTCATAAATTTACGTAACATCACTCAACGGCGCTGAGATTCTTACTTGGGTGTTATGCATGACAGTTCGTAGTTTGGAAACAAACAAAAAAAAAAAACTGCTGAAACGGTGCGTTTGCTGTGCACTGACTGAACTGAAAATACTGCTGCAGTACTGTACCTGTTCTCTACATGTACAGGGTGTTCTGTAAAATTGTTCAATGAGCAATGGGGGGGTGATGGGAAAGTCAAGACGCCCGACAACGTTAAGAGGGGGGCTGGGGCGGTGGGAGAGGAGGGGTTCAATATAAAAATTTGGAGTTGCAGGGAGAAAATAGTTGTCAGTACATTTAGCAAAAAAATTCTCTACTTAAGGGTAAGTTCTAGTAAAAATTTAAGATAGTAAAACCGTACGATTTTTTTCGCAATCTACATATACTTTAAACAGTCAATTCTTGTAAATATGTATGCATATATATCCAAAGGTTTCTAGAAAACGACTCTAACGATTTTGATGGAATTTTGTATTCAGATAATGTATAAGTCATTAAATGCAGAATGAACTATATTTCTATTAAAAATTAACGAAAAAAATTTATTACGAAAAACATTGCAAATATTTAAAAAAGAAACACGGTACGGAAACGTTGTGGTTAGTGTATATCTGTGTTCGTATGGAACAGTAGCTTATGTCGAAAGAATGGCTTTAGTATAATGCGGCATTCGCGGCACACGATTGCGAATGGTCCACCGGCGCCGAGCCATCGAAGAACATTTGGCAAATAAACGTACAGAAAAGTTCCAATACTAGCAAGTCAATATTCTTATTAAGTCCCATCAAAAAATTCTTTGTCGTTTAAAGAATGAAGGGAATACCGCGTTATACTAAAACCAGCTTCCCGACATAAGCTACTATACCATACGAACACAGATATCTATCTCAATTCCTTTAGGCAGTTACAAACAACCGTTATGTGAACAAAGTTATAGTGCACACTGGAATAAAAATACGTATCATTCGAAAACTCGAACAATTAGTTAACCCGAACACATCTGCTTTACATTAGTTCGAGTTATCGCGAATGCACTGTATATTTATGTAATGGTTGTTGTTGTCGTAACAACATAAAAGTTTCCAAAGAGTTTTTTGGAGTTCTAGGCCTGTCGACGACGGTTTTATATTGAAAATTGGTTCTCGTTATCATAATTTTATGTAATCAGATGGAAATAGGCGAGATGGTTTCCACTAAATTCTGGGACTCCAGAATTATATTTTTATACCCGAACGCACTTGTGCACAAGGGTATTATAACTTTGTTCACATAACGGTTGTTTGTAACAGGCAAAACGAATCGAGATAGATTAGACAAATGTATACATAAATGATCAGAATGAAAAGAGAAATCGATTAAGCGGTGACTGTCTGTCCGTCCGTCCGTCCGTCTGTGCACACGATAACTCGAGTAAAAATTGTGATATCTTATAGGGAATTTACATGATTCAACTTTCACAGGCGATTAGTTGAACCAAAAGTTGAACGAAAGTAGGGAGCCGACCAACTTCATTGTAAGCGATTAGTTGAAAGGCTGTTTACACAAGGCGATTGTTGCTTTCGACTAAAAATCGCCTCATGTAAATTCCCTATTAACGAAACTTGGTACGTGCACTTCTTTCGGGCGTAGGACGGATGATATTGAAAATGTGCGAAATCAGACAACAACCACGCCTACCTCCCATATAACGGTAATTTTCAGAAATACGGAAACTGCGATATTTTAGTAACTACTAAAGATAATTCAATCAAAATTGATATTTACAATGATTTTTAGACGAAAAATATGAGTATTAAAAATTTTTGGAAAATGGGCGTAGACATGCCCACTTATGGTTACATGTGTATATCTTGGTAACCGCTGCACCAATTTCTTCTAAACTTCGTACAGTTGTTGGTCCTGGTACAGCATACCAAATGGCCGAAAATTTTTAAAATCGGACAATAACCACGCCCACATCCCATATAACGGTAGTTTAGAGAAATACGAAATCCTCGATAAATCAGTAAATAGTAAAGCTAATTTATTCAAAATTGATGGTTGCAACAATTCTTTACCAGGAAATACGTTTATGATAAATTTTTTATTCATCATATCATAATTTTATGTACGCTCCAAGGTACATTGAACAGGTAGTATCAGTAGAGTAGCTGATTTGATTTATTTTCAAATTATTTGGTCTCGAAAATGTCAAATATTTTTAATTTTTTCTCAAAAAAAATCTGAATTGTTAAAATCCCTTTGCATGTGAAACCTTTTTCCATACAAAACAAGCGATTGAATAGCAGCTTTTGGAACGTTCGCCCAACTCGGCAGCACGACCGCTGATTACTGGGCCTTGCAAAGGATGGATCAATGCTTCGAGAAGCAAACAAATTTACTAGGAAAGAAAGTTGCATACATTTTTATTTTTTCCAATTTCAATTTTTTATTTTTTATAATTTTTTGTATTTCACATGGCACGCTTTGATTTAGAAGAAAAAATTCAGAACAGTTTTTGACACTTTCGATACCAGAAGCAACAACAAAATACACGCAAATGTTGTTTTTGCTCTACTGATACTACCTGTTTAATGTGCCTTGGTACGCTCATTTTTTTTTTTCGTTCCCACGACAGTCGGGTCTACGTAACCGGAACGACCCAGATTTATATCTGGCCAAGGACTGTCACTCCAGCAACACTCCCCAAAAAGTCTTTGGGGAATTTGTATGCTGCTACAACAACAACATGATAAATTTTTTTAAAATGGGCGTGGCACCGCCCACTTATGATCACATATATGTATCTCGCTAACCGTTCTAGCAATTTGCAAACCGTTGAAAATTGTTGAAATCGGACTAAAATTATGGCCGCTTTTCATATAACAGTAAATTTCAGAAATGCTTGAAATTTCAATATTACGAAATTTAAGGACGCTAATTTACTTAAAATTTATACACCCCGGCTTATCATGTAGCGGTAACTTTCGGAAAGGTGAAAAACATATATTTCATACTTGCGCCGGGTATTTAGTGTTCGGCTCCGCCCGAACTTAGACTTTCTTACTTGTTTTTTTTTTTTACTTTAGGTTGCACCATTCACAAACTCAAATGAGAGGTTAATTTTCTTCAAGATTGACAAGACTGATTTTCGAGTCTATTGTCTTTTTTGCTTCGTTTAAAGTTTAAACTTTAAACGGTCAATAGAGAGAATTCGTCAGCATTGTAACAGTGTAATTTTCAAATTTTTCGGGCAAGTACTAAATATTTTATTATATTTTGAAGCAAAGCATATTTTAATGTCACGCCCGTCACAAAATACAAAAAATAGTTATATTTAAAGGAAAACACATCTTCGCCAGTGCAAAAAAGATGACGAAAGTAACGCTATGACACAGACGAATTTGTGCGAATAGCTTTTTGGTATTTATATTTTGATATTTTCGAAAAAATAACAGAATATGTTGGTCACGCCCGGCAAATGTCACACCCGTCACAATTTAAAGTTTGACAAATTTCAATAAGTTCGGCCAGGGACTGCTACCGTTACTTATCTGCTAATCTGAAATGTACCATATATCTGTTTGTGGTCAGCGATGATAAAGCTAATCATAAAGATATGTTGCTCGAGCGATGGGAAAACTTAAGTTATGCTGTCACGGATAAAAAGGAACCATTACCTCACTTGTCAGGGCAAAAACAGTATCTCATACGGTTTGACAGGTAACATCCTCATTAAAAAAGTAGTACTATTTAAAAATAAGGTACTTTACAATGACTCAGGCAGACAGTGGAGATGAAAAATCCGATCAAAGAATATCCGGTCTTTAGATGGTAGAAAATTTTGTGTCCGTAAAATCCGATTTTTTGAGAAATAAATTAGTTTAGTTGTCTAATACACATATTTTTGTATTCACGCTCAACTTGTCACACACGTCACAAAAAGTTTGGTCTCTAACGCAACGCGGGATCCCGAGGATGCCCGGAATAGCTCAGAAATCGTTTCCGTACTCCAGAAAATGGGCATTAGAGAGCGAATGCATTCCACAATTGGATGGTAAATGTCTTCTTCTTCGTGTCCGGAATAGCCCGGTCTTTTTCTCCGGGCATAAATGGATAAAGTGTTAAAGTGGCTATCAGCTGTTTTGTGTTTACATGTTGCCTGCATTTACTTGGTGCTTTTAAGGAATAGTGAATGGCCTGTTGATGTACTGTAAATTTTTATATACTTAAAATCAAATTTGTGAAATAAAAATTCAATTTCCAAGATTTTGCATTGAAGTGACTAAAACCAAAAACAATCACAGTGACTAAAATCCATATAACTCTTTTGGATTAAATTGGTTTGATTTTTTTCTAGGCATTGTGTATACCTCGAAAACCTTTTAGAAAATACTCGTTTTATATAATTTTATATTGCAGTTTAAGAATTAAGCCTTAAAATAAGAGTTGAAATGTCGTACCCGTCACCCGGTGGAATGAGCCATACGTACATATCGCCATCAAATAATTTTAAAGATACGCACCTGTTTGTTTGCGAATATTAGTAAAACAGCATCTCTGAGCTCGTCTTCAGCTAACATACGCATCAATTCCTCTCTCGCCTCACCGATACGCTCTCTGTCATTGCTATCAACGACGAATATAAGACCCTATTTCAATAGAACAACGCGAAACAATTATTTAAGAACTTGCATAATAAAAGAACTACTTTAGACTAAACTTAATATAACTAGGATATTTGCAGCACACACAAACCCGACTTACTTGTGTATTTTGGAAGTAATGCCTCCACAATGGACGAATTTTATCTTGACCGCCCACATCCCATACTGTAAAGCTAATATTCTTGTATTCTACAGTCTCGACGTTGAAACCTGGCGGAGAGCAAGGAAAATATTTTATTTTTGTTTTTATTCTTCATTTTTTCCTTGAACTCACCAATGGTAGGTATCGTTGTAACAATTTCGCCTAATTTGAGTTTGTACAAAATTGTGGTTTTACCAGCGGCATCTAATCCGACCATCAATATTCTCATTTCCTTTTTTCCAAAAAGTCCTTTAAATAAATTTGCAAAAACGTTCCCCATTTTTATTCAAGTTATAAAAGTTTGATCTTGATCTGGATATTATTGTACTCCAAGCGTTAAATTGCGAGCTTCGATATTAAAATATTAGCTTTATTGGATTATCCGCTATTCAATAATCGATCCGAGTTTCAGCAAGTTAAAGCTGCAGCCGGATTACAAATTACAAACAGGATGGCTGTAAATAAACGTTATAGGTACAAGCCATACATACATTAAAATATCAGTCAAGAGTTTTTTTTAGTTTAATGAGGTGAGAAACAAAGTTGTAATATACAGAAGGTGATTGATAAGTCTCAACGATAGTTATTACTTCTTTCCACTATAATTATATAGGTTTGGCTCCAATACAACCCCTAGCAAATTGAAAACTATAAAACGCTTTTAGATATATGTATATACATACCTACATATCAACCTAAAGGATCTGATACTTTGCACTCGTGAATTCGCTAGTATGTATGTAGATATATTTAATTATGAATTCGATTCATAATCTCAGTTGGAAAGATCTAAAATGCGAGAAAGGTGATAAGAGGTGGAGGGCCAGGAATTTTCGAGTGAGTCAGCATGCATTTCAGACACTCAAATGCCATTAAACTTTTTTTTATTAACTATCTATTGAAAAAGCTATTTGATTTCTCCGCTGAAAAAACAGCAGCTTTATTATCTCCATATATTGTACATGCATTATTGGAAACACGAAGCAAAAACTCAGGGAACTGCCATGTCATGGCTTTAACTTTTTATGTTGCTGTAACCAAGTACGATTCGCATTAATTTATAAACTGCATGAAACATAATTCAAAACTTTGAACATCACTCTCATTTTAATAGCCATTTTTTCTTAATTATTAAAATTCTTTTATTGATACAATTATTTTTCTATATTACCCGATTTTCTTCTTTTTTGCAGGACGGCCAAAGCACCACCCTACGTCAAATACACGACGAAAACGAAAAGAGAAAGAAGCTGGAGAAACTCCAATAATTGACGACGATTGAACGTACGTAGGAACAAGTGTAGAAAAGCGCAAAATTAAGCACGATAAACAGCAATATAGTAACGTCGGCAATAGGAAACACCGATAGAAAGCCGCCAATACACCACAAATGAATTCTGGGCGAGACGTAATTCCCCGCAAACTACGGTAAAATTCACCATACAGATTCAGATAAACGAGGTGAACAATATATGACCGATGTGCTCGATATGAAATTGGACGAGGCTAATTTCCCCCGTCCCTCCAAGGGGTTTCTAAAGTTTGGAATAAAATTAAATGGAGCACTAGAAATACACACGCGTTGATTTTTACGAATGAAAAATAACATTCTAAATTGGGCGACCTAACTTTAAGCTTGATGCTTTTGACTTTTACAAACGAAAAATTGTAAATCTTGATACGACCCCTAGTTTAAACTTGATGTCCTTAATCTTAAGGGAATACCCGTATCATTTAGAAATTGAGTTTTTTGATGTTTAATAAAAAGGCCATTCATTATCACTGCACAAAACTATTCTTTCTACGATACGGTAGTAATACATAAAAGAAAACTGCCGAAATAAGTTCACTAAAGAGATGCTTTAAAATAAAACTAATTAACGGATTTTATACTTATATTGCCCACACAATAAAATTGTTCTTACTTCTTATATATAAACACATTGTATAAAGTAAAAGTTTTGACTTTAGAATTACACATTCAACATAGTTTTTCAGCAATTACATATATATCTGAAAAGGATAGCATGTTGTCACCCTACTGCGAAAAACATGGAGGCAACTTTATAAGCAGCAACAGCGGAATCCTATATCAAACTCGCTACATTTTGCTATTTACACAGAACCAATATCCATATTTTTTAATTATTCAAATACGCACCAATTCAATGAGTCAATTTTATACACGCAATTGCAGAATTTTTTTCAATTCTGCTTGGAAATGTCAGCGAAAATCACAGAGCAATAAACACACGAACACACCAAATTAAAGTACGCTATTTTACGTAAAAAATTGTTAGCTCACCACGAATAGTTTGTCACCTCGCATACGAGCATCTAGAGACAGCTATAGCGAAAAAATTTATCTAACTTTATTTTAAGCTAAGAAAGCAACATTATGAGGAGTATAACTAGTGTTCGATAGCAATGAAGCAGAAACAACGAAAAGTTGCCACGTCGTGTCGTGAGAGTCGTCCACGATGTACGAATGCGTAAATGAGTAAACTACATCATACATCACATACATATCAACCCTTGACGCAAAAGATGGGCATTTTAATGTAACTGCTAATCAGTGCTATTGTTTTTAAAATTCCTCATAAATATAACAGCTCCTCGATACGAAAATACAGACCAAAGTCTGAAAGCTAAAATTAAGACTTATCTCAAGAGCATTTAAATGCTGTAATCCTAAATGCTGTTTTATACAAAACAAGAAAACAAAGGGAAAATTTGATAAAGTAGGCAGCCCTAAAATGGTCATTCTTTCACCACACTTTTCTAGTTTTCTTTAACATTTTCTTCGTCACGCTTTCTGCGGTAAAACGAAATCAATAGAAAATTAGAAAATGTATCCAAAATCACCTTTTCTGCGTAACCCACTTGTTGAGTCGCAAATTCTTAAAAGGAATGTAAGTTTAACTTATTAATTGTATACTTTAATTTTCGAAAATACTCGGTTACAAACAATTGTGTTAAAACACGCCGGAGACCAACAATAGCTTATTAAGAGCAGGGCTGCCATTTCCGATTTTTCATGCAAAATGGGTAGATTTTCGTGTACGTATTGTGGCGAATACTGCGGCAACACAAAGCGAACAACGAGAAATA